TAAGCCGGAAGTACGACTTGCTGAGTCGGCAGTTGAGGAGTTTGCAGTTGCTCTTGAATCAAAGCCAGAGACTTATGCTCTAGCGGATGAGATTTTACCGCCCGCGTCCAACCGATTTGTTACCGAGAACAGTTCCCCGGATCGACAAACCGAGCCGTCCGGCCAATAGTAGCTAACTCGGACGATGAATGTTCCTAAGGCTTCGCTTGAATAACTTTACTGAAAAGTTAAAGGATTTGCGCAGCGAGAAGTCTTACATGTACTTGGCAAGGCTTCTCAAATCCGAATTCATCCACCAACAATTAACCTGCAGAAGATTCCATGCCGAGATTATTTGACCAACAATTTTGTCGATATAGTAGATTGAAAACACCACCACTAGTAACTCGTCGCTCAGCTATGGTGGAGCAATGCGCGGAGATTTTAGCTGGCGCTGAAAATTGCCTAATTGGGAAGCTTTCTGAGCAGCCATCAGTCAGCCATCAGCTCATCTGGGTATTTCAAGCCTGGGCGAAGCTCTTCCAATCCATTTCATGTATTATGACAAGTGGCTCAGCCCCAAAATCCCCAGTTCTCGGCGGACAGCCAAATCTTGCTTTACAATCAGTGCTTGCCCGACTCCTCGCTCATGTCCAATAAATTCCAAAGTGTCAAGCATCCACTGCACTTGAAGATCCGGCAGCCCTGAGACTTGGACGGCCAGGTACAGGCTTCTCGTGACGAAGAAGGCTTTAGCACAGCGCGTATCTCCTTCGGCAATCACTTCTCCGCTGCTGTTGATCAGCCCGAGCATATAAGGCACAGTGCTACAGATGGCGTCGGCAACAGCAACAAGGCTCGACTGCACGTCCAAGGAGTCCAGGGCGGATATCGACGCCATTGAGTCGAGGGAGTTGATGGCTGCTATGCTTTTTAGAACAGATAGCTGCGCGATATAGTAAGATGTCCAGATGCTTGATACGCTTATATTGGGGAAGATGATGAGGCAGTCTGGAAGGTAAACAGAGCTGTTGGTATGAAATTGGGGATTTGGGATGACGGTAGGTCGCCATTCTAGAGGCAATTCGTTTTCCCACTCTTGTAGAGCTCGTCTCAATCCCTGCAAGGATTCTAGACAGGCCATCAGGGGCTCTACGTCTAGGGGCTTTCGGAGACATGCAGAAACTTGTGCGCCGCTGGATGCAGCCCAGGGAAGTAGGCGTTCGCGAAGGGTGCTGGACGGCGTCTCCAGCATTGACGTTTCGACGGGGAGGTTTGCTTCAGCTGCAGCAGCATTTTCATTTGGATGAAGTATAATGCGTTGCATGACTACGCCCGTGCGTACAGATCGGTTGAGCCACTTGTCGTCGTCGTTGGACTTCTCTTTGGAGAGCCGTGTCTTGAGAAATTCCAGCTGGCCTTGCGTGTGGGGGCTCCTACATGCCAAATTGTCTTCTCCCATAATAAGCTTTGTTTAAAGGGGATTACTTTCTGTCAGCATTTGTTTACATCTAGGAGCTGGGAAAAGCGGAAATCCGGCATACGTACATCGTACCTCCAAAGAATATCCACAGTGGCAAGGACGGCTGCAGAGGGAGAGTCTTTCTCTTGCTGCAGCGAAGACCCCAAGCTTTGCAGGGCTAATCCATACGCAGTCCTAGCCATGTTGATATACTCACTGCCCATATGTTTTGTCTTGGCTAGGGTGGCCATCGATATAGCCTCCACTGATCTATTAAAATACGACGAGTCCGGGTTCATGCCAACTAGACGTGGTAGCAATTCCAAAAAGCCTGGAAATAGCCCATCAGGGGGTATAACGAAGTTGTGGAAAAAGTGGACTATAGCGACCTGCAGCCAGTCGGTAGACATAGGTTGAAGAGGAGGGGATGGGGAACGAGAGGAAGTGTCCCATATCCCAGGCGTCTCAGGTCTATTTTCGTAGCGAAATACAACTCTCTGCTGATCACGATAGCCGGGACAGACTCTGTGTCCGCGTTGGCACCGTAAACAATGGGGCTTGTTTTCATCGCACTAAGGCCAATGAGTGTAAATTGTGCGATCCGGCAGTGATGATGATGATAAGGGGGGGCTGCTTTTGGCGTACCTTGACCTTCTGTCTAATGCAAGCCAGACATCCTTTGCTTTTCAACCGGCCATCCCGGGGCCCAACCTTGGTAGTTGCGCTCATAGTATTATTGTATGTTAAGAGTTATGAAGTTTCAAGAATGTGTACGAAGCATAGAAGAAGTCATGGGCGTCGAATCGTCTCTAACGACCTTTTATAGGAGCCCAGGGACTCAAAAGTGTCTACTACATTCTCGAGTCATAGGCATTTAATTGCTGGCCCTTGTCCTCACTCACAAGGGCTCACTCTAACGGTTTCAACCTGGCCATGTCTTCCAGCTTTGGCATGATACACTCAAGGAGTTAAATGTTAAGTGCTGCACGTGATCGCATATTTCTTCCAAATTAGGACTAGGGAGGATTTGCAATCCCCTGGTCGCCGTTTAAGATCTGCCATCACAATCCATGCTAGACTACACACTCGGCATCCGAATCCAATATGCGACTCCATCTGATCTTCCAGACTTCCGACAAACTCAATAGCTCATCTCGGTCGCCTTGCCGTTGAAAATTCCAGGGGCGACATATGAGATGACGGCTTTGGACCGGCTTTTCTCTGGCTTCTACGCCTCAGGTCTTGCGTGTCAGTCCGGCTGAGCCGCTGGTTGTTACCAAGATGAGAATATCATGGAGGCCTATCACTTCTTGATGGCACAGCTTTTTCCTATATAAGGGAGCTGAAGCTTCCATGCCACAACTGCATCTTTGATCCGATATCTCAAGCTTAATCTTGCCAAGGAGATGACTCTATTGTCCAATATGGCGCCTCAACTTCTATACGGCATTGCGCTCTTGCAATACTTTATCGGCACTGCACTGTCTTGCCAGTTTCATGGTGATATTGGCAGCCGAGAATTCATAAACTATGATGCTGCCATCGCCCACAACATCGCCGCCCGGTCTCTCAACAAACAGAACGGCACTGCTGAGCAGATGGCCATCACCAATGTCCGTGTCTTTGACGGATTGGTAGTTGGTCCCCCCAGCACCGTCATCATCACGTCCAGTGGCCGTATAGGCAGTGTATGTCGTCCAAGCACAGCCTGTCCGCCCCTGGAACACGTCTTTGATGCCGGTGGACTGACTATGATCCCGGGCCTGATGGACTCGCACGCACATCCATCCAACATATCGAACCTGGTCTCCATGGCCAGCAACGGCGTTACAACGACTGCGCTGGCCGCGTGCCTCAACGTGGAGCTCTGTGCTTCGTTGCGCGACCACGCAGGCCTCACGCAGCTGATTGTGGCGTCCTTCCAGGGCACGACTGCAGAGAGCAGCACCGCGGCGCTGGTACCAGCCAACGAGACCTTTCAGTTCGTCCAGAACGCCAGCGAGGCGCCTGCGTGGGTGGCTCGCCAAGTAGCACAGGGGGCCGACTTCGTCAAGCTCATCGGCAGCGCTCCTGGTCCCGGACTCACGCAAGATGAGCAGACGGCGCTGGTCAAGGCGGCCCACAAGTCCGGCAAGCAAGTGGTCCTCCACACGGCCAGCTACGCCGCGTACGAGCAGGGCTTGATTACCGGAGCCGACCAGATCCATCACGCGCCGCTGGATGTCCCCGTCGATGACCGGCTCCTGAGCATGTTCAGGCGCGGCGCTACCAAGGCCGTATGTCCCACGCTGACCATGATGCGCGCCATCATCCAGCAGGCACATCCCACCAACTCGTCGTTTGCGCCCGCCAACGCGACTGTCGCAAGGCTTCACGCAGCGGGCGTGCCGATCATGGCGGGCACAGACGCCAATGCGGTTCCCGGTGTGCCAGCCTTTGTTGCCTTTGGAACCAGCCTTCACGATGAGCTGGAGAATCTGGTGGATGCCGGCTTGACGCCGCTGCAGGCGCTGCGAGCGGCCACCGTGGTGCCAGCAACAGTCTATGGCCTACATGACCGAGGCATGATTGTAGAGGGAGCGAGAGCTGACCTGGTGCTTATCAATGGAGATCCCACGGTCAACATTTCTACTACGCGGAACGTCCAGAGGGTCTGGATTGGCGGTGTTCAGTTTAACGCAGACAACTGGAAATAGTTTCAGATTTGGTAGGGCAGTGGTTGTGGATAGCCGAGCAGACTTGATGCATACACTGATGTGTTTTGGCGGGTAGTTGTGAGAGGTATCATGCATGTATTATACATGTCAGGTATATATAGATAGTCCTTGAACTTCTTTGATGAGAATTTGGCAATAACGCGTTCTTTGTACATGGAGAGTGAACAGGGGTAGTATAGATTCTTCTGGTAGTATACGTCTAGTTACATAGAACTTTTTCGAGTCATTATAAACTTTCAACAACGACTTTACACTTGTGCTTCTAACTGCTTTGCAGCTGTAAGTGGAAGATTCTGATGCAATAGCTTACAGCTATAATATTTCAATATGAGTCTGAAGAAGCCATAAACGGTCTGATTGAGAGAAATGGACAATACCGAACTTACGGAGACGGAAAGCAAAAAGACAAAAGTGACAAAAAAGAACAGCCTCTTAGAGGCCTGGCGGATCTCTCCCGCCGGGAATTGAACCCGGGTCTCAAGCGTGACAAGCTTGCATACTGACCACTATACTACGGAAGATGTACCAGGCGTTGCAGCGCCTGTTGTAGCGGATCACGTAATCTCGTCGACTTAATGTTGCCTATAAACAGACTGAATCAACGAGGTCTGCTTTTGACTTTTCTCAAGCTTCACTATGATGATTCGTTGTAGACGGAATTGTAAAAATATCCCGCGTAATAGACGTAATACAAATTGGAAAATTCTCTCGTTGGTCTTGAAGAGGTAAATAGCACCTAAAAGTAAACATACTCAACGATTGATTTGGCTAGTAACAACATATGTAGGTAAGGAAAAAAAAAAGAAAAGCAGACATGACATTTGTTCAACCCTCCCCCTTTCTTAATGTATTCGCTTAATAGCACCATCCTTCACGTTTCCTAACTTTCTCACAGACGAGGCAATGAACCCAATGCTCGTCAAGTACTGCACATTCTTCTTAACCGCCGCATGCCACTGCTTATGCTCCGAGGGCTCAGTAGCCAACTCCTTTGCCGATCTTGGCGCGCCGAGAGCTCCCAAAAAGTGCTGAACTGGCCATAGAGGATGCTTGTCTCCCATTTCGTTCATAGCAGCTAATGCAGTCTCTTTCCATTCTTCCCACGGCACAGGCTTGCACTTTATATCCAGCGCCTCGTTAACCAGTTCCCAAAACACCGGCGTAGGCATGCCCCCAGTCACATGGATAAAGGGGCGAACGGGGTCCTCTTCCAGGACTTGATTTAGCACGGTTGACGCAACGCTGCTAACATCTGCAATGTACATCCAGTTTTCTGCAGGCTCAACTGGATAAGCGTGGATGGCAGCAGCTCCTGAAACTACTCGCCAAATCAAATCATCCACGTTGGCAACTCCGTTACCCTGCGATCCAATAATGCGGCCGGGCTTGACAATGGAAAGCCGATTTTGCTTGGCAGGGAGGCTCTTCAAAGCATTCTGGATAATATTTTCGCAAACAAACTTGGTCTGCACGTATCCGTTTAGCTGTTCAAGCTGTGCGGCAACGGCTGATTGATCGCCTTCAATATCTGTTTTCAGACCACCAGACACAAAAACAAATCTTGGATGCGCAGGAGATGCGGCCGTGATGTTGAACAGTTCAAAGGTTGAGTCGACGTTGGCCGCTTTCAGCTTGTCATAATCCGCATTCCAATTAACCACAGCTCCGTTGTGAACAATGGCGTCAATGTTACTGTGCGTCTTGGATGTTCCCGATAGTCTCTCCCACTGGGATGCGTCGAGTCCAAACTGCGATTTTCCCAAGTCACCGACCCAAACTTCAATCTTCTTTGCGTCGTTCTTGCGCCACCATTTGGCTGTCTGGGCTGTGGCCCTAACTCGTTCTAGTCCATGCTGTGGCGAGTTGCTTCGGACGAGTACAATGACTGATTTGACGTAGATGTTACGCAGTAGCTGTCGGAGGAGTTCTGTTCCTAAGAAGCCCGTAGCTCCTGTGAGAAACACTGTTGATTTATCGGATAGCTTAACGATTGGCCGATTGATCAAGTTCTTCAGCTTAGAAGCAGAGATGTTCTTGGCAAAAGACTCTATCCTCTTCACCAGACTCGTCTCTGATCCCTGATCAGAAACAACGTCTCCACCGCGTTCAACGAATTTGGCCATGCTACTGATTGTGGTATGTTTGCTGTTCAAAATGGAGAGACCCAAACTCACGCCATATTGACTGAGAATAGACTTGGCAAGAGTGACGATGCGAATAGAATCGCCACCCAATTGGTAAAAGTTGTCGTCCACACTAATAGATTCTGCAGGCAAGTTTAACACGGACGCCCATTGGGAACGAATCCAGATCTCCATATCATTGGTACAATCGCGGAAGACTGTTCGTTGGCCAGATAAGTACTGCGCGAGTTCACCCGTAGGAAGTTGGGCGACTGCTTGCAAGAGCAGTTTGCGATTGAGTTTGCCGGCACTATTGTGAGGCATTTGCGCAACCGGAATGATATAAGATGGCAGCATGTGCTGAGGTAAAACATGGCTCATATTTGCCCAAAGCTGAGAAAATAAGCCTTCCGTATCATCATCTTTGGCCTGGAACTTGATATTCTCTTTCGCTGCGCCGTCAATTGTCTCACCCTTGAAGCAAACAAATGCTGCCAGCGAGTCTTTGTTCACAATGTCAACTGCGACATGTTCAATCTTCTTTTCCAATTTCTTGACCTGGTATTCAATCTCGCCAACCTCGATACGCTGGCCGCGAATCTTGATTTGTGTATCCTTCCTCCCGAGATATTCCAGCGTTCCGTCTTTAATGTACCTCACCAAATCTCCTGTTTTGTAGAATCTGCGGAATTTCGTATGTTCCGCGGGCAACCATTTCACATCTTCCAAGAAGGCCTGTCTCGTTCTTTCTTCATCGGCAAAATAACCTCGTGCCAAAGCAGGGCCTTGAACCAAAAGCTCTCCTACGCAGCCAATTGGCGCAAGCTTTTGGTCGTTTTCAGAGTCCACAATCCAGCAATGGTGGGCAAATCCACGGCCTATAGTGGTGATAAGATCTGTCAAGGACGTATAAATATGCGCAGACGACGAAATGCAAGCCTCGGCAGGACCATACGCATTACGCAAGTCCAAACGTCCGTACCATGTTTGCAAGATATCCTTTGAAGCAGCCTCACCACCAAGAATAAGTGTCTTGAGTGACGGGACTGAGTCGGGCGCTAATGTCTTGACGACCGTTGGCGTCAACAGAGCGATATTGACCTGGGCATCCGTCATAAACTTCGCGGTATGCTGCATTCGTTCTGTCTCAGTGGGCACACAGACAGTACCGCCCGCAGTCAGAGCAGCGAATATCTCTGTGATGCAAGCGTCAAAGACGTAATTTGCGAATTGGAACCAGCGAGAGTCCTCGTTGGTATTGAATGCCCTATGCTCTCCAATAAGAGACGTGCAGATACCCTGGTGTTCGACGACAACTCCTTTAGGCAAACCGGTCGAGCCAGATGTGAATATCAAATATGCAGCATTTGTCGGCTTAGCTATGTTCGTGATTGTGGTGTTTTGGATCTTAGACAAATCTGATTCAAGATTTGAAGACAGCTCAATGATGTTTTTGGTCATGTTCGTACATTCATGAGCAATAGATGGAGATACTAGTAGAATTTGAGCTCCAATAGCGTCGACCAATGCTTGTCGACGAGCGACAGGATGACTTGGGTCCAGTGGAACAAAGGCACCGCCAGCTTTCAGTACGCCGAGCATAGCAACAATAGCCCAGACTGATTTTTCAAGACATATGGGCACAAATACATCTGGTTTGACCCCCTTTCTTCGCAAGACAACGGCCAGTTGCGAAGAAAGAAGATCGAGCTTCGCGTAAGTCATAGAACCTCCAGTAGAGTAAATCGCCTCGTGGTTGGGTCGGCGTCGAGCTTGTTTCGAGACAAGGTTATGAAGGCAGTCATCAGTTGGGCTAAGGTCGGCTGAGTTCCACTGGATTGCTTGCTGTAGATCCCATGGCCCTGCAACAGAAATCTCACCCAGCGACTGTTGTCCCTGAGAAAGCAGCTGTTGAATAACATGGTTGAATTGCTCAGAGAGCGCCACTGCCTGGGACCTAGATACGCAAGCTGTGTTGTACATGAGTACAACCTCAACCCTATTGTCGAATAGTAGCGCCTGGACTACAAGAGGATAGTTGATGAAATTTTGGATTCTATCCTCGATTGCTTCCTCAGAACTCTCATCAATTAGGATTGCATCCGAGCTTTTACTTCCCTCTGTGAAAAATCCAGCGGGTTGGATCACAAGTAAACTGGAAAAATTGCATGCCTCTTTGGCATTCGCGCTTAGCGAAGAAATTCTTTGAAGACCGAATTGCTCATATGCCGTCATATTATTGCTCTGTGCTTGAATGTTGCGCAGATATTCTGATACTGCCTGATCCCTATCAAGCTGAACACGGACCGGCACTGTCGCTAGCATTACTCCAGGCATAGAATCAGCGCCAATGAGAGCTGCATTACGGCCAGAAACACTGGCGCCAAAGCATACATCATTGGCATCAGAATAGCGTCCAAGGATAATAGCCCACGCGGCTCTAATGACAGACGCCTTGGTGACCGAAGTTTTGGGACAATTGGAGAAGTCTATCTTCTTGCTAACATAGCGGGTAACTCCGCTTACAGCAGTAGTCTCGCTGATACTGGCTGGGAATGAAGCACGTTTGGCGTCATGGAGTTGTTCTAGCCAGTATGCGCTGGTAGTATCATGTTGGAGGTCCATGGTATACTTCACAAAACGGGCATATTGGGCTAGAGGTGGAGGCTCGTTTCCTCGATAGATAGCATCCAGTGTGCCCATGATACAGCTCATTGACCAGCCATCAAAAATACTGTGATGCATGGTGAGACAGAAATAATAACTTCCATCGTGTCGAACCAAGGCGTATCGGACGAGGCTGGATCCATATCCCATCTTTATCTCAGACATCGATTGACAATACGTGGGAAAGTCAATGCCATCTGTAGTATCCCATTCGTGGCAATCTTGAAGGATTACTTGGACGGCCGTATTATTGACAAGTATAATTCTCGTCCGTAGGTTGGTGCAGATCTCCAAGGTCTTCTCCCAGGCTGCCTTGAATCGGCCTATATCGACATGATTCGGAAGTTTATAAGTATTCTTCGCCACGTAGGATCCTAGCTGTTTAACAGATAATGCCATGATGCCTTGCTGAAGCTGGGTACATGGATAAGCATCCTCAACGAACTTGTTGTCTGTTAAGCCGCACAGATTAGACACCTCTGTCAACAACGCATCGAGTTTCTCGGTCGATAAGAGGGCAAATCGCTCAAGATCAGTGACCTTGCTTAGCTCTTGGCCGCTGGCTAATGCGGATAGCACCGATATCTCAGAATCCGCAAATATGTCTGCTACTGTCAGGCTGATACCAGCTTTCTGCGCTAGATTCACCAGTTGGATCGCAGTGATGGAGTCACCACCAATCTCCAGGAACCTATCATGCCGACCGATCTCTCCGGCGCTAGTCTTCAGAACAATCTCGGACAGCTCACATAACTTGCGCTCCATTTCAGTTGCTGGCTCTGCCCTTTCTTGTCTTCGTGGAGAATAGCCAGCGATTTGCTCAGTTGATAAGCTAGCCGCTATATTCAAGAGCAACTTGCGATCGACTTTCAATGAAGCGACGAAAGGCATACGTTTGAGAGGCAAGATTAGCTTAGGCATCATATAAGGCGGGAGGCGAGCCTTCAAATAAGTGCCAACTGATACTAATGATGAGCGTACAGAATCATCAAATGGCAAAAGGATATCATCTCCAGTATGTCCATCCGTAAAGCTAATAAAGGCAGTCAGAGTAGCACCCGACTTATGATGAAGAACATCAACAGCAACGTGATCGATATTCGGAAGCGATCGCTTCAAGTGATACTCAATCTCACCAAGCTCAATTCGTTGACCGCGAAGCTTAACTTGCAAATCTTTCCTTGCGACATATTCTATGAGCCCATCAGGAGTGTATCTGACCAGGTCTCCCGTGAAATAGAATCTTTGGGGCCCGCCTATAAGTGAGGGCGTTAGGCAGCCGATAGCTTCTGAAAAAGATGCTTTCGTTTTGTCGGCGTCTTTGTAATAGCCAGAAGACAGAACATGGCCTTGGAGGACAAGTTCACCAACACATCCAATGGGAGTAAGTCGACGGCGATCATCAGCATCAACAATCCAAGTGGCGCTATTGAAGCCTTGTCCTATAATCTTGCCAGACACGTCACTTGACCGCACCTCATGAGCCAGCGCTATAACGCAGGTCTCTGTTGGCCCATAAACATTAAAAAGCCGCACCGCGCCACACCAAGCCTCGAATATGTCTTTGGTCACAAGTTCACCGCCGACTGTCAGTGTTTTGATAGTAGGAACGGAGGATGGATCGATCGTCCTTGCGAAGGATGGCGTAAGGAACATATGATTACACTTCGCTTTCGAAATAAAGCCAGCGACATCTTGAAGTCTTTCTGAATTTGAAGGGATGCAGACTGTGCCGCCATTTATTAACGGGACGAATATCTCGTACAGCATAGCGTCAAATATGTATCCAGCAAACTGGAAGGTTCTTGTTGATGAATCTGCACCAACCGTCCGGCCCAAGCCTTTCATGCTTGTGCTCAGAGCGAAATGCTGGATGACAACGCCCTTGGGCTTGCCTGTTGATCCTGAGGTAAAAATAACGTAGGCGGAGTCGCTTGTGGATCGTTTGATAGTGGCAAGGTCTGGCTTTACCGCTTCAGTGCTTTCAAGCGCGGAGATGAATGAGGGTGACATCTCTACCACATTTTTGACAAGGTCGTTGCACGATGACATAGATGCTGAAGAAACAACCATTATCTCAGCTTCTGTCTCCTGAATCAAAGTATCCAGACGAGCGCGTGGGTGAGATGGGTCTAATGGAACAAAAGCTGCACCAGATTTAAATATTGCAAGCATTGTAACCACTGCCCATACCGATTTCTCAAAGCAAAAAGGAATGAATGTTCCCGGACCCGCCTTGAGGAGGCGAAGATGATTAGACAGCAGTGTTGAATAGCGATCAAGATCACTGTACGTCATAGACATTTCGGAAGAAAATAGTGCTTCTTTCATAGGGTTGCGTTGCACTTGGACAGAGAACAAGTCATGGATACATGCATCGACGAGCTCAACGTTTTGCTTATTGTATCCAATAGCTTGTGCAAGATCCCATGAGCTCGATAAAGATATCTCCTCTAAAGGCGTCTCATCCAGCGTGAGTAGCTGCTCCACAACATGTTCGAACTGGTTAAGTAGAGCAGATAGTTGGTGCTTAGCTAGAGTGTTGGTGTCATAAACGAGCAACAAGTCGACCTCATCACCAAAGAGATAGCACTGAACTATCAAGGGATAATTGAAAAAGCTCTCCATTGCATGCTCTAGATCTTCGCTCCCAGGAGCTCGCTCCAGTATAGGAGTGTCATTTTCGTCAGCTGTCAGACCCATTTGCTTTGCTGGCTGCACAATCATCAAGCTGGAAAAGCTGCAGGCTACTTTGGTGTGTTCGTCGATTTTGGCAATGTTCTGGATTCCAAATTGCTCATAGGGTACCATTTCTGATGCCTGAGACTGGATACCCTCCAAGAACTGCGTTATAGATTTATTGCGATCAAGTTTGACCCGTACTGGGACTGTGGCCGTGACGAGACCTGGTATAGCCGCTAGGCCAGGGACCGATGCGTTACGGCCAGAGACAACAGAACCGAAACAGATGTCATCTGTGTCACTATACCGCGCAAGAATGATGGACCACGCCGCTCGTAATATGGTGGCCTTGGTAAGTGTAGAATTCTCCATGCGCGGGACATGGATTTTTTGTTCTAATACCGCGGTAGCTTGTTTAGTATTTGGCTTCGTTTGCTGTAGAGGAAACATGGCCGGCTTCGCCTCATTGAGTTGAGCTTTCCAATAGTTGACAGAATCGTCATTGCTTATTCCATTGACATACTTCACAAACTTTGTATAAGGTAATAGCTTGGGTAGATTTGTTCCTTCGTAGGCTGCGGACAGTGTCTGAAAGATGAGCGAAAGGCTCCAGCCATCAAAGATAGCGTGATGCATGTTGAGCGCAAAGTAGTGCTCGCCATTATCTTCAAACAAGCAGTAGTTGCAGAGTGCCGTATTATAGCCAACTTCGATATTCTTGCAAGAAGCTCTATATGCTTCAAGAGTGCTGTGGACAGTTGTCCATGTCGTATTTGCCTTCAGCTGAAATTGGATTGGGACGTTATCGACGAGAACTATCTTTGTGCGCAAATTGCTACAACTAGCAATAGTTTGTTCCCAAGCAGATTTGATTCGCTCAATGTCCACATGAGACGGGATCTTGAATAGATACTTGGCTAGATAAGAACCTTGTTGCTTCGCAGCAATGGCCATAAGACCCTCTTGGAGTTTCGTGCACGGGAAGGCATCTTCAATAACATCAATCTCTTCTAGGCCGTATTCGCCGCGGCGGCTGGGGTCTGTAACACTGGCTTTCATAGATTGGCTTAACAGGCCAAAGGGTGGAATAATTTCTTCTAGTCCATTTTCGGTTCCTTCAACCTCACGCGCGACTGATGCCAGATGGCTGAGGCGCGAGTTTTCAAAAATCTGATTGATCTGAAGATGGATACCAGCTTCCCGAGCCAGCGAGACAAGCTGAATGGCGCCGATTGAGTCGCCTCCGATACGCAAGAAGCTATCGTTTCTGCCAATTGTGTCAATTGGAATCTGTAAAATAGTAGCCCAAAGCTTTTGCAAACGAGCCTCCATCGAAGTTTCAGGACCACTCTTTGGAGCGCCGTCCGCAAGAGCAAATTGACTCCACTGTTGCTGAGAGAAATCCCCAATCATTTTTCGAAGCTTGTTTCTGTCTAATTTGGCAGAAGATATAAGAGGAAGATAATTCAGAGGAACGAAGAGCGTCGGGATCATATGGCGAGGGAGGGCCAGATTCAAAGCCTCTACTAGTTCGCCAAGCGTCTTACGCAAATCGTCGGTAATAGCCATAAGGAGGCCGTCGTCATTTTGATTGAGCATCTGATTGGGTGTCTTGGTAGCATCCGTAAAACAAAGATATACGACAAGATGAGTGGCGGTTTCATTCTTGAAGACGTCAACGGAGACTTGGCGCGCAGAGCTTAGAGCACTACGAACTTGATGCTCAATTTCGCCCAGTTCAACACGTAAACCTCTGATCTTGACTTGCGAATCTTTTCGACCCACATAATGAAGGTTGCCATCCTGGCCAAAATAACCCAGATCGCCAGTCTTGTAAAACCTATTCCAGTCTTTTGCCGTGTGGTCTGGCGCCCAATCTGGGAGATTAGACAGCAGTGTTGTCGAAGTTTTCTCGGAGTCAGAGAGATATTCGCGTAGTAAAGCCGGCCCTTGGACAACAATTTCGCCTTGACAGCCAACTGGTGCTATCCGCTGAGGGTTATCAGCGTCAACCACCCAAACATAAGAGCCAACTGGCCGACCAATAGTCGACACCAGCTCCGTTGAAGATTTCCATTCGTGAATGGAGCTGAAAACACAGGTCTCGGCTGGACCCCAGGCATTGATTAACCGCAACTTTCCGAACCATCGATCCAGCACCTCTTGTGGGAACGCTTCGCCAACGAGGAGCAGCAGCTTCAAGCCAGTGAAATCTTCTGGTTTCAGTGTTTGCGTAAAGGATGGAGTCAAGTATGCCCATGTCACCTCAGCCGAACGGACAAACTCGTTCAGAGCTCCATTCAATCGCATGTCGTCTGAAGGAATGCAGACGCAAGCACCATGCATAAGAGGCGCCATGATCTCACCAACAGATACATCAAAAACGAACGAAGAGAACTGAAGCATTCTAACGTCTTTGGTGAGTTTAAGTCGCTTGCTGATGTCTGTTTGGCTCGTACAGAGAGCCTTATGCTCCATGACAATGCCCTTGGGAATGCCAGTTGTTCCAGAGGTAAAAAGAACATATGCCGCATCTTCTCCAGTCACATCAACGCGCGGCAGGTTGCTGACGGGGACTTGTTGGAGCATTTTGTCAAGCTCCGAGCTTACCTCCACCACTCTTTTCGTTAACTGCCTGCACACCTTCATGTGAGACGCAGAAGACAGCGTCAACATAGAACCAGTCTGCTTAGCGACTGAATGTAACCGCTGAATAGGGTGTGCAGGATCAAGCGGTGCCCATGTGGCGCCGGCCTTGTTGATGGCGAGAATGGCCACGACATACCATATGGACTTTTCGAAACAAACATGGATAATATCTCCGACGCAAACATTGAATTTCTGAATCAGATGTAAAGCTAATCTGTCAGTAGCTTCTTCAAGTCCAGCATATGTGAGCTGGCCATCCCAAGCGTGAATAGCAGGCGCGTCTGGTGATATTTTGGCTTGACAAGAGATGAGTGTATGGACACAGCAGTCTATAATTTCCGGCTTATTATCATTAAGCTGCAGAGAAAGCTGTACATCTTGAGAGCTGGTAACTGATATTTCATCAAGCGTTAGTCTTTGTCGCAAGACTAGCTGCTCGACAACTCCGTCAAATTGATGTATCAGAGCTTCTATCTGAGATTGAGAGATGGCATCGGTGTCATAAATCGTCACAAATTCCACATGATCGCTATAGATATGTCCTTGAATGACCAGCGGATAGGTGTAGTAGTTCTGCACCAGAGTTTCTTGAGCATCGAGTCCAGTATCCGCAATGGCCATGACGCTGGCCATTTCGCTATCTTCAGTAAACTGCTGCATCGGCTGAATCAACAACAGGCTGGAAAAATCGCAAGCTACCTTGGCTTCAGGGCTCAGTCTGGAGATATTCTGTAAGCCATACTGTTCAAAAGGCATCATCTCAGTCGCTTGGCGCTGAATAACTTGAAGGAAGTCTAATACTTGTTGCTTTCGCTCCAAGCGGACCCGAATAGGCACAGTAGCAACTGTTGGCCCAGCCACGTTAAGCAACCCATCGACAGAGGCTTGGCGACCAGATATCGTAGCGCCAAAGCAGACATCGTCAGAGCTGCAGTATTTTGCTAAAACTATTGCCCAAGCTGCGCGCAAAATCGTAGCTTTTGTAATCATAGAGCTGGATAAAGCGGGAAAATTGAGAATAGAGCTTGTCGTTCCGGTATGTAAAATCTTGCTACCTGGTCTTGTCGCTGGAAAGTTGGAGTGTTTGGCATTCGCAAGCTCCTTTGTCCAGTAGGCACGAGCTTCAGATTCATCGGTATCTGCCAAGTGCCGGATGAATCTAGAATAGGGCACTGGAATAAAAGGATCACGATCTTGATAAGCTTGATAAAATGTTTGTAACAGAAGTGGGACCGTCCATCCATCGTGAATCGCATGGTGAATAGTCCACAGGAAGTAATTGTTTCCGTCATCATCTTTTGTAATCGTAAACTGTGATAGCTGTGAATCATAAGACATTCGGAGCGTTGTTGTCCTTTCTACAGCAGTCTTCAAGCTGTTGCTGGTATCATCCCACAGCTGGTCATTCTTAACCACGACTTGAACACAGTTTCCGTCAAATAGCGCGATGCGTGTCCGCAGTATGCCACAAAGGTCAATAGTTTCTTCCCATGCGCTTCTAAAACGATCCATGTCCACTCTTTCAGAGAGCTTGTAGACATATTTTGCAGTGTATGAGCCTGGGTACATCAAGCTAAGGGCCATCAGACCCTCCTGTAGTTTTGTGCATGGATAGGCGTCCTCAACGATTTGATTACCGGATAATTGAAGTTGAGCTGCCAGAGATTTCCCGATTGCCCATTTCTGTGTGGCTTTGTCGACTTGATCAAACGGTAATATCTCAGAAATGTCCACTTCTGTGCCGTCTACCTCTTTTACGCTCGCGGCTACAGCCAGCAAACGGGGATCGTTAAAGATATCCTTAGCTTGAAGTACAATGCCGTCATCGCGAGCAGTATTAACCAAGTGAATCACGGCAATTGAGTCACCACCAAGCGATAAGAAGCTATCGTCACGACCTATCGACTCCATAGGAATGTTAAGAATTTCTGCCCATATTTTTTGCAACAGAGATTCCATGGGGGTTTCAGGAGCGCGCTTTTTGGATCGCACAAGGGAGTATAATGCAAGATTCTCCTGAGATACCTTACTGGTTGCTTGACGAAGCTTTTTGCGATCAAGCTTAGTAGAAGTGATGACTGGCATATAGCTGCAAGGTATGAAGAGAGTTGGTACCATATACCGTGGAAGTGCGACATTCAGCTCACCAACTGTAGCTGTCAAGCATGTCTGTAACTCTTCATCAATGGAGAGGAACATCCCATCATCTCCATCTTTATTGCCTGTTCTAGTCTCGCTACTCATGCAGAAATAAGCAACTAAATTCGTTCCTTGCTCCGTTCTGAACACGTCGACTGCAATTTGCTGTGCCTGTGGAAGGGCAATCTGAAGATGATGCTCAATTTCGCTGAGCTCAACGCGGAGGCCTCTGATCTTGATTTGTGTATCCTTTCGAGCTGAAAACTCAATGGTGCCATCTGGATTGTAAAAGCCTAGATCTCCTGACTTATAAAAGCGGCTATAGTGTGACAAATGCTGGTGAGGAGCCCAGTCAGGGAGAGACGTCAGTATCGTTGCGTTTGTTCGGTCTGCATCAGCAAGATACTCCCGCAGCAGCGTCGGGCCTTGGATAAGAATCTCGCCGGTAGCGCCAATTGGAGCAAGTTTTGACGGGTTTTCAGCATCCACAATCCAACAGAGACCGCCGACAGGTTTGCCAACGGTTAAAGACGACTCGTGGATAGAAGTCCATTCATGAAGAGTACTGAAAACGCATGTCTCAGCAGGCCCCCAGCCATTGACTAATCGGACTTTTCCGAACCAAGTGTTCAGGACGTCTCGTGGAACAGCTTCACCGGCCAGTAAGACGAGTTCCAGGCCGGACACATCGGCGGGGTTAATAGTGCGAATGAAGGATGGCGTGAAGAAGGCCCAATTTATTCCTGTCTCGCGAATATATTCGGGCAGTCCGTTCATTCTTGCATGTTCAGAAGGTATGCAAACACAGGCGCCTGTAATCAGAGGCGCGATCATTTCGCCGATAGATAGGTCGAAGACATAGGATGCAAACTGCAATATCTTGACTCCTGCTGTCATGCCCAGTCTTTTTGCAACGGCGGATTGACTGGTAGATACGGCACCATGTTGCATCACGAATCCTTTTGGCGTGCCTGTTGAGCCGCTGGTAAATAACATATAAACAGCTTCTTTTGGTGATACGTTTGTCTCGGGGCCCCTTTTATCCAAGACTTTGAAGGTGTTGGCCAGCATCTTGTCCAGGGACGCGGTAACCTCAATAATGGTAGGCAGCAGGCTCTCACATATGGCTTTATTACTCGGTGACGTCAATGCAATTGTTGCCTTGGTCTGCGAGACGATTTGGGCAAGCCGTTGCGGAGGATGTGAAGGATCAAGAGGCACCCAGCAAGCTCCGGCCTTGTTGATTGCCAGAATGGATATCATATGCCAAGCTGACTTTTCGAAACAGACATGGATAAATTCTCCCGCCTTGACGCCATATTCATTAACCAAATGATACGCCAATCGATTTGCAGACTGGTTGTATTCTGCATAAGTAAAACGACCATCCCACGCATCGATTGCAAGGGCACTCGGGCGAACAATAGCTTGCTTCTCGATAAGAGTGTGAACACATGAGTCAACAAGAGCAGGCATCTCGTGATTGAGCTTGGCTGCCTGTTGGATATCCCAGTCTGAGGCTACAGATACATCTCCGATAGTCATACCTGTCTCAGAAGCGAGTTGTTGGGCCACATGTTCAAATTGGTGCGACAATGCAATGAGTCGCTGTTCCATCAATACTTGCGAGTTGTATATAAGTACAAGCTCAATTTCATTCTCGTACAAGTGGCCCTGGATGACTAAAGGATAGCTGAAGTAGTTCTCAAAGGTTTCTGCGTGTTTGCCTTCCTCAGAAGCCACCATGATGTTCTCATTGCCGTCTCCAAGCAACGACTGCATGGGCTGGACGACTAGAAGACTTGAAAAGTCACAGGCATCTTTAGCATCGTTGCTAATTTTTGCTATGTTTTGAGTACCAAATTGCTCATAGGGAACCATGTCACTAGCATGGTCCTGAACGTAGCGCAAAAATGTCGCAATGGATTGTTTGGAGTCAGTATGAAGTCGTACTGGTACTGTTGCAATAATTGGTCCTATCATTTCCACAAGGCCATGCACCGCAGCTTGTCTTCCTGAAATGGTTGCTCCAAAACATACATCGTCTGTCTCGCAATAACGAGCTAGGACAAGAGCCCAAGTCGCCCTCAAGACTGTTGCCATTGTGACACCAGAGCTAGCGATGCTGGGCACTTCGACTCTGCGGCTCAGTATACGCGTGTTGCTAGCATTCGCTGAGCTAGAGTTTGAAACTGCTTTTGTAGGTGGGAATGAGGCACGTTTGCCTCCTTGTAACTGTGAATCCCAGTACTCAACAGCCGCATCATGATTGAGCTCCAAGGTATACTGGATGAATCTAGTGTAAGGTTGAGATATGACATCGTTGTGGCCATGGTAGAAGTTTTGCAGCATGTTGAGAATATTCCTTATAGACCAGCCATCAAAAATGGCATGATGCATTGTCAGGATGAAGTAGGACTTTTGTGAAGCCTCTTCTGTGAGAACAGCATACTGGCTTAGGCGAGAACCATATTTCATCTGCGCGCTTTTGAGATCGGATAAATATGTTTCCAATGACTTTCCGCTGGTATTATCCCACGGCATATCTTCATTAATGACAATCTGAAAAGACAAGCCACTCAACTGGACAATACGGGTTCTTAGACTACCAACAGCCTTGACAGTACGCTCCCAGGCATCTTTAAACTTTGGAATATCGGTACTCTCAGAAAGGCGATAAATAAATTTGGCAATGTATGAGCCCGGCTGCTTCATGGCTAGGGCCATTAGGCCTTCTTGCATTCTCGAACATGGATAGGCATCCTCAATCTGCTTGTCACTAGAAATCCTAAGAAGGCTTTTGGTGGAACCATTTAGAATGAGACTCAAGTGTTCTCGTTCCAGTAAGCTGAACGGGGGGATAATGGTTTCTTCTACATCCTCTTCCATGGAATAAGCTTTAAGGGCCACTGAGAGCAATCTTGGATCGTCAAAGATGTCGCCCACGGTTAGAGAAATGCCCTGGTTTCGAGCGTGAGACACGAGCCGAATAGCAGCGACAGAATCACCACCAATTCCGAGGAAATTCGTATCACGGCAAATTTCTTCTGGCGAAATGCGAAGTATTTCGCTCCACATCTGCTGAAGACGGCGTTCCATGTCTGTCTGTGGCAATTCCTTGACTCTTTCACCATCCTCCAGCGTATACGGATTCAACTCCTGTCGATCAAGTTGCTTCGTCAATCCAAGCAACATCTTTCGATCCATTTTTCCAGAGGTAACGAGTGGCATAGCGCTGCAAGGTATGAATAGCGCTGGCATCATATACGTCGGCAATGCAGAGCTGAGACGATCACGAAGTTTATAAAGAAGATCCTTCAAGTCATCTGTGACAGGCTGGATGAGATCATCGGGAACAGGTGTGCCGGCTGCAATAGTGTCATTATTGAAGCAAACAAACGCAGCCAAACTGGTAGAAACGTCCGTTTTCAGGACATCAACAGCAACTTGGCAAACTCCATCGAGTTTGGTGTGAATGTGGTGTTCAATTTCACCTAGCTCGATACGAAGCCCACGAATCTTGACTTGCATATCTTTACGGCTGTGATATTGGATAGAGCCGTCTGGGTTGTACATGGCCAGATCTCCAGTTTTGTAGCATCGTCTCCAGTACGGGGAATCCTGGTACGGGGCCCATTCCGGAGCTTGCATTATTGACGAAGCAGTCTTTTTCTCATCTGCCAGGTATTCGCGGAGTAAGTTTGGGCCTTGAATGATGACTTCACCCAAGGTCCCGATAGGAGCCAGCTTATTGGGGTCGTTTGCATCAACAATCCAGCAAAATCCGCCAAGCGATTGCCCAATTGTCAATTGTGATTCCCCTCTGGCTTTCCATTCGTGGATAGCTCCAAAGACGCAAGTTTCCGTAGGGCCCCATCCATTCATGAGACGAACCTTTCCAAACCACAATTCGAAAACGTCGCGTCCCACTGCTTCACCTACCAGCATCAGCATCTGGAGACATGGCACACTATCAGGCTGGATTGTACGAGCAAATGAAGGTGTCAACATGGCCCAGGTCACTTGCGCATCGCAGATATACTGAGTCAGACAATTCATTTGGGTATCCCACGACGGTATACACACACAGGCTCCTGTTAGGAGAGGCGAGATGATCTCTCCTACCGAGGCGTCAAACACGTATGAAGCAAATTGCAGCATCCTCACTCCCGGGCCATATCCGACTCTTTTGCTGGCCGCCGTTTGACCGCTGGATAGAGCCACATGTTCGATTACAACACCTTTCGGGATGCCTGTGGAGCCGGAAGTGAATAATATGTAGGCTATGTGTCGAGGCGTCACCTTAACATTCAGGTTACTGTCATGTTGGCCTTCTTTCATCAGCTTGGCGTCCAATTTTGCCGATACTTCGAGGGCTTTTCCCACCAATCTAACGCATCTCGATACGTTCGATGGTGATGCCAAAGCAAGTGAAGATCCCGTTTGTGCGACAACTTGTTTGTGACGTTGAAGCGGGTGGGCAGGATCAAGAGGCGACCATGCTGCTCCAGCCTTGCTGATTGCAAGTGTAGCCACCACGTACCAGGCCGACTTTTCGAAGCAAACATGTATTATATCCCCGACTTGGACGCTGAGAGAGTTAACTAGATAGCTTGCTAGCCTATCGGCGGCGGCAATGAGTTCTTTATAAATAAATTCAGCATCCCAAGCCGATACAGCAGGCAGGTCCGGATATTTCGCCGCAGTTCGGTCAATAAGAGTATGAATACATTCCTCTACAACGTCGGGAGGCTGGCCATTGACAGCAAGGGCGTATTCGAAGTCTGAATTTCCAGCAATATTAACGTCCGTAAGCTTTCGGTCATCGGATGTCACCAGTTGCTGAATAACATTCTCAAATTGGAAGGAGAGGGCTTGTATCTGAGATTCCACCAGCAGAGTAGCATCGTAAATGAAGACGAGCTTCACCGACTCCTCTCCAATGAAGCAGTGAAGGATTAAGGGGTAAGTAAAATAGTTTTGTAGCGTCTCCTCCGTGAACTTCTCGCTAGAGTTCAAAGACTGCAGAATCGAATTAGGATCATCGCCACCAGCAGGCTGCACAACCATCAAGCTTGAAAAATCGCAGGCTTCTTTGATCTGCGGGCTTAGCTTTGTGATGTTTGAGAGACCAAATTGCTCATACGCTACCATTTCCGATCCTTGGATTTGAACCCTCTCAAGGTAGTTACTTAATGTTATATCAGAGCCCAGACGAATTCGGACAGGCACTGTTGCAATCGTCACTCCGGGCATCGATTCAAGCCCAGGGATAGAGGCAGTTCGTCCTGAAACAGTTGTTCCAAAGCAGACGTCATCGCTGTCACAGTATTTAGCAAGAATGATAGCCCAGGCAGCTCTCATAACTGTAGCTTTCGTGATGGTACTACGCGAAGGGGAGAACTTCATAGTACTAGTCAAAACGCAGGTTCTCTTTTCTTCAACAGTAGCTTGGCGTCTTGACGTCCGAGGAGGGAACGAAGCTGGCTGCGCGTCTCGTAGCTGATTGAGCCAATACTTTTTGGCAGCCTTGACATCCATGTCCATGAAGTATTTGACAAACTTCCGCATAGAAACCAGAGTCGGCGGCGCTTCGTGTCTCAGAAGCGCAGTCAGTGTATTTATGATGATGCTAAGGGTCCATCCGTCAAAAATTGCGTGATGAATCGTCCAGAAGAAATACGTTTCACCATTTTTGGTTTCGAGAATGCTGTATTGTGAGAGCCGCGACCCATAATCCATCCTCACATTCTGTGAGCGTAAGACATATGATTCGGCATCAATAGCGGAGGCTTCTTCCCATGAGGCGTCTTGATCCAGTACGATTTGGACACAAACATCTTCAACAATTAGTATTCTTGTCCGCAGGTTGTCGCATAGACTAATGGTTTTCTCCCATGCTGCCTTAAACGTTGCTACATCGAGGTAAGCAGGCAGCTTGTAAGCGTTCTTCGCTATGTAAGAGCCTGGCTTGGTCACGGTCAGAGCCATTAGACCTTCCTGAAGTGCGCTGCACGGGTAAATGTCCTGAATAGCTTGGTCATCTGATAGCTTGCATTGTTGTCTAATAGCTTTCGTGATTATGTCGGTTCTTTCAAAGGGAAGCAAGCTGAATGGTGCCAATTCAGCTTCTCTTTCAACAGCTCCAGCAGTTTCAGCTACAATAGCCAGAGACGACAACTTTGAGTCGGCAAATATGGCATCTACAGGCAGCTTAATGCCGTGCTGGTTCGCTAAAGAAGAAAGTCGAATCGCCGATAACGAATCACCGCCAATTTGGAAGAAGGCGTCGTTTTTGCCTATTGTTTCTGCATCAATCTTCAATACTTGAGCCCACAGGCGTTGCAGCTTGATTTCCATCTCGGTTGTTGGCGCGACTCTATCCCTCTCTGATAAAGAGTAAGCCGTAAGTTGCTCTGTTGTCCAGTCTTTAATCAGCCCTAGGAGTTTTCCACGATCTAGTTTCAACGCCGCATTAAATGGCATCTCGCGAAGAGGGATTACCAAGCTAGGAACCATATAGCCTGGCAGCTCGTGTCTCAGTTTGCCAATCAGACCTGTGAGCTGTTCGCGCATTGATGGCTCCAATGGAATAATAGTGTCTCCCGATGGGTGTACATCATTATCTTTATAAGATATAAACGCGATCAGAGAATCTCCAATGTCCCTTCGAAGGACTTCAGCGGCAGCGTAAGCAACTTCTGGCATCAGCCGCTTGATAGTGGCCTCAATCTCGCCAAGTTCGATACGATGCCCACGAAGCTTGACTTGCTTGTCTTTGCGCCCAAAATACTCCATCGCGCCACCGGCCAAGTATCGCACTAAATCACCAGTCAAATAAAACCGTGATGGCTCAGATGGAGCACCCTCAATCTTTGAAACGAAAACTTGGCTTGTTTTCTCTGGCTCGTTCATATATCCGCGGCCAACGGTATTTCCCTGGATCACAAGCTCGCCCACACATCCAATAGGCGCAAATTTGTCGGGATTGCCTGGTTCAATTATCCAACAGGCGCTATTGTATGGCCTACCAATCATTGTTGGACTATCACTCAAGATATACTCATGGGCTGTACAACAAACAGTAATTTCCGTGGGTCCATACAAATTCAGCAGACGCACATGGCCGCACCATGCATCCAAAGTATCGCGAGCAGCAGCCTCACCGACAAGCATCATGGCTTTAAGATCAGGGACTTCGCTCGGAGACATGGTTCGGAGAAACGAAGGCGTAAGAAAGGCTATATTGACCTTTGCCCGTCTGATGAACTCGGGGATACCTTGCAAGCGCTCTTTCTCTGAGGGAATACAGACTGTGCCGCCAAAGACAAGAGTACCCAGGATTTCAGCTACACTTATATCAAATGTGAAGGCTGAAAACTGTAGAGATCTAGATGTGTTGTTGAGATTTGCCGCTTTTCCAAATCCTTGGATGCTAGTACAAACAGCAACATGCTCAATGACAGTGCCTTTGGGCTTTCCGGTTGATCCAGAGGTGTATAAAACATATGCGGCGTTACGCGGCGAGGATCTATTCGTTGGCCTAACAGCATTCTTGAACGATGTAGAGAGCTCAGTTATTGATGAATGCGATAAAACAAACGTCTGCTCCGTTAGACCGTCGCATGTAGCAGAAGTCGATGGAGATACTATTACGACGCTAGCACCTACTTCCGCAACAATCGTTTTCCTTCGGTTCAATGGATGCGAAGGATCAAGAGGGAGATAGACCCCGCCGGCCTTCATAATTGCCAGCATAGCGACAATGGCCCAGACAGATTTTTCTATGCAGAAGGGAACAACGACTTCTGAACCTACTCCAAATGACAGGAGATGCGTCGCCAAAGCATCGGATAAACGGTCAAGTTCAGCATATGTTAAAGACTCTTCCGAGGAGAAAAGCGCTTCATGTCCTGGTACCTGCTTGGCTTGAGAAGAGATCAAGTCATGAACACAGCAGCCCACCCTCTCAATAGGGGGATTCCACCCTGCAGCCTGTTGGGCATCCCAGGGGCCAGCAACAGAAATAGAACTCAATGGTCTATCGGTTTGATCACAAAGTTGCTGGATTACGTTGTCGATATGAAGAGATATTGCTTGAATTCTCCATTCTTGTAAGATGCTTGCATCATAGATAAGCTCCAATGTCGCGCCTTGCTCGTGTAGTTGACATTGCACTATAAGTGGGTAGCTGAAATAATTCTGCAAGGTCTTTGTGAAGATCTCACTCCCAGAGGTGACAGGAGTCAGGAGGGATCCACCAGCGGCATCTACCTGTATTGGTTGCAACGTCAAGAGACTGGTGAAGTTGCAGGCTTGTTTCGCCTCCTCGCTCAGCTTCAATATTTCCTGTAGACCAAGCTGCTCGTACGGAATCATATCATTTGTATGGCTTTGCACCATCTGAAGAAATGAACCAACTGCCATTTCACGATCAATCCGCATCCGAACTGGGACAGTGGCCACTACCAAACCGGGGATGGATTCTAAATCTTGGAGATCGGCATTTCGCCCAGATGATACCGTGCCAAAACAGATATCATCAGTATCGCAGTACCGGCCAAGTACAAGTGCCCAGGCAGCCCGTAAAACGGACGCTTTTGTGATCGAACGGTTCGCTGGCGAGGCAAACTGAACGGTGTGAGTTAACACACGAGTAGCTTTGATGTCTGACTGCCGCGTAAGTTCTACAGCAGGAGGAAACGAGGCTTGTTGCGCGCCCTGGAGCTGAGCAGTCCAATACTTCACTGCGGCGTCTCGATCCAATCCCATCGTATATTTGACAAAATCAGCATATGGTCGGATCGTTGGAGCAGTTGTCCCACGATACAGCGCACCGAGAGTGCCATATATAAGGGGCAGACTCCAACCATCAAATATACAATGGTGGGCACTGAAAACGAAATACAGGCCATCAGCTTCTTGGATGAGAGCGTATCGACATAGTCGTGTACCGTGGCCCATTGCAAGCATTTCAGGCCGTTGAATATACGCCTCGACGCTCAATCCGTCGGTTGAATCCCAGTCGTCATCTCCCTTGATAATTGCCTGGACGGTAACATCGCCAACAGGCACGATCCGCGTCCGTAAATTAGAGCACAGCGAGAGAGTCTTTTCCCAAGCCGATCTAAACTTGGCAATATCTATAGCATTAGACAGCCTGTATACCTGTCTGGCGACATAGGACCCAGATTGTGCGACTGAGAGTGCCAGAAGACCCTGTTGGAGCGAAGTGCATGGAAATGCATCTTCAACGACGACTTTTTGCGGTAGATTATACTTCGATCGTAGTATGTCCGTGATAAATGCGCTGCTCAGAGAGTCGCCCAATAAACTAAACGGCGAGATATCAGCCGGCTTCTCGGAGTAGGCGCTTGTTACGGTCGTTTTCGAAGCTACAACCCTCAATCGCGGATCATCAAAGATATCTTTGACAGTCAGAGACAAACCGGCCTTACGAGCAGCCGCAACCAGATGGATGGCACCCAGCGAGTCACCGCCAATCTGAAGAAAGCTGTCATCCCGTCCAATCATGTCTGTTGCGATTCTCAGTGCCTCTGACCAGAGCTTCTGCATATGGATTTCCATTTCAGTTTCCGGTTTTCGCTTGTCTTTGGCACCAAGTGAGTATTGAACCAGTTCGTTTTGATTCATTCTTTGGGTGAAGTTGCGCAGCAAATTTCTATCCAGCTTCAAAGATGTGTTTGCCGGCATGAAGCGGCATGGAATAAACAAAGTGGGAATCATATATGGTGGCAATAGAGCACTTAGTTCGCCTATCATTACCACAACCTTCTTCCTCAAATCTTCTGAGAGTTGAAAGAACATGTCTTCGCTCGTATTTTTCAGCTGGCTGGGAGTACGTCTCTCGTTGGAAAAGGAGAAATACACGACCAATTGAGAGTTGGTGTCTTTCTTGAGGATGTCCACGACAACCAGGGCAACGCCGTTCAAAGTCTCTCGAATGTGATGCTCGATTTCTCCCAATTCAACACGGAAACCTTTAATTTTCACTTGCGTGTCCTTGCGACTGACAAATTCCATGGTGCCATTGGAATTATAGTAAGCCAAGTCGCCTGATTTGTAGAATCGATTCCAATACTTGGACTCACGAGAGGGCGCCCAGTCCGGCAGCGTAGTAACGACGGCCTTGCTCGTCTTTTCCGGATCATTCAGGTACTCGCGCGTAATTGTAGGGCCTTGGATGACAATTTCGCCGACAACTCCAATGGGCGCCAGCTGCTGGGCATTAGAAGGATCAACAATCCAGCAAAAGCCTCCAACTTGACGTCCGATGTCAAGATTAGACTCATCCGCCGACATAATCTCCCGCATACTGCTCCAAACACAGGTCTCTGCAGGACCCCATCCAGTGATTAATCTTAGCCCCGGTCTACCAGCCCACGTTTGGAAGACGTCGCGCTCAAAAGCCTCTCCTGTGATCATCAACACTTCCAAGCTTGGAACCTCTAATGGATCAATGGTCCTCGCAAAAGACGGCGTGAAACCGGCCCAGTTGATTTTCATGTCTCTGATGAATTGAGCTATGCCGTCCATGCGAGTTTCTGCTGAAGGCACGCAACAACAAGCTCCATTGGTCAAAGGCTGGACGAATTCGAGGACTGAGAGATCAAAAACGTATGAAGCGAATTGCAGCATTCTGGCCTGAGGCGTTATGCCAAGCCTCTTTGCAATAGCCTTTGCGCTTGTACATAGAGAACCATGTTCCATCACGAAACCTTTCGGCGTGCCTGTGCTTCCACTCGTGAATAAAACGTACGCAGCGTTTCGCGGCGACACATCCACATTCGGAGAACGCGTACTGCACTCGGTCAAACGGCTGTTCAAATCTGGACACACCTGAAGAACTGAATCTACTAGGCCGTTACATAGACTCGAGCAAGCAGGTGAAGTCAGTGCCAGCTTCGCTTTTGTCTGCAAAACGATTTGCCTCAGCCGCTGCTCGGGGTGAGAAGGGTCGAGAGGAACCCACGCTGCTCCAGCTTTGTTGATTGCGAGGATTGCAATGAAGTACCAGGCCGATTTCTCAAAACACACGTGAACCAAGTCCTCTTTTTGAACATTATACTTGTCCACTAGATGGTGAGCTAGCCTATTTGACACCCTGCTAATCTCACGATATGTGAAAGTGCCATCCCAGGCGCAGATTGCAACGCTACTTGGCCGCCTTAACGCTTGGTTCTCAACCATCTGGTGAAAGCAGAGGTCCACAATCTCAGGCTCTTCACTATTGAATTGCTTAGCAAGCTCCAAGTCCCATTTTCCCGCGAGAGTAACTGCAGAGAGCGGCTGATTTAGCGGTTGAAGAAGCTGTTGTACCACATGGTCAAAGTGGTGGAATAGCGCTTCAACTATGCCTTTGCCAATGGAATTTGAGTCATATGTAATGCGCAAGTCGACATGACCATCCTCTACAAAAGTTTCCAAAACAAGAGGATAGTTGAAGTAGTTCTGCATAGAGGCATCAGACAACTCCTTTTCTGCAGAGCTCCCACGTAGCAGTATCGCCTTTTCAGTCTTGGAGTCGGCCGTGGACGATAATGACCTTGAAGGCTGAATTACAAATAGACTCGAAAAATCACACGCATCTCTTGCGTCTTCACTGAGTCTTGCAATATTCTGAAGCCCGTATTGCTCGAATTCAACCATCTCAGACGCCTGCGTCTGGACATCTTGCAAGAACGTGTTGACAGATTCGTCGCGCATGAGGCGGACTCGAATGGGCGCCGTTGCAATAATAGGCCCAGCCATATGATTGATTCCCGGGACAGGGGCTTGTCTCCCGGAAACAGTAGTGCCAAAGCAAACATCATCTGTGTCGCAGTACCGACCCAAAACAATGGCCCAGGCAGCTCGTAATACCGTTGCTTTTGTAATAGACATTCCCGCGATATGTGGAAAAGGAATCTCCTTTGTCACGACACGACCAGCAATATTAGACTTCGAATTGAAAATCCGAGGAAAGTTGGCTCGATGAGCGTCCTGCAGCTGTTTCTTCCAAAAGGCGCTCGCAGCATCTTGGTCAATGGACTGGGTATACTTGATGAAGCCCGAATACGGCCGCAAAGCACTCGCTTCCTGGCCATAATATAGCTGATACAGTATATCAAGAGTGAGGCGGGCACTCAATCCATCAAAAATCGCGTGGTGAATGATCCAGACAAAATAGGATTTCCCATCTGCATTGTGGACCAACGCGTATCGACACAAGCGAGACCCATATGTCATGGTAATTTCCTTGGCCTTGGACACAAAGGAATCCATTGTTTCGCCAGCTGTTTCCTCCCATGTGGCATTGCCCTCGATCACTGCCTGGATCGTCTGGCCATTTACCGGCAGAAGTCTAGTCCGCAGGTTATCGCAGCGTTCTACTGTCTTTTCCCATGCCATTTTGAATCGCGGAACATCAACATGGCTTGGCAGCTCGTATATCTGCCTCGTCATGTACGATCCGGGCTGTTTCTCTGCCAGAGCCATGATACCAGCTTGGAGCGCCGTGCAGGGAAAAGCATCCCGAATGGTGTTTTCATCAGTCAATTCGCACTTGGCTCTAATTTCCTCCAAAATTGTATCAACTTCTGCCTGAGGCAATAGGCTCAAAAGCTCAACGTCGTATGCCGCGTGATTGATCTCATCCAAGGCCGCCACAGCAGCCATCTTCGTAAGGACAGGATTGCGAACTATCGTAACAGCTGTGAGGCCAATTCCATACTTTTCAGCTAATGCAACAAGCTCGATGGCAATAATCGAGTCTCCTCCAAGGCTCAAAAAGCTGTCTTTCAAGCTGATATCCTGAGGCTCAATATTGAGAACTCGGCTCCAGAGTTCTCGGAGAACAAGCTCTGTTTCTTGGGGAAGAATATCGGCTTCGGAACTCTGGTGAGAGTCAGCGCGCACTGCTTCTGCGGCGATGCGGGCTCTCTTCTCTCTTGGCGAGAGGTCAGATTCCGTTGAATCCCACGTGTTCAAGAGTCGATAGAGGGCCTTTTCATCGACTTGGCCCTTAGAGGTGATGGGAAGCTCGTTGAGAACAGTCCATCTTTTGGGAATAGGGAAGCGTCCGCTCGGGCCATAATCCTTCATCTTTCGAAGCGCTTTACGCGCTCTCTTGATTACGGCGGACACATCCGCCTGCTCGAGGCGGTCCGCTGGCTTGGCTAGAGAAATAGCCACGGCCCATTGCGGCTCGTCATATGGCGAGGCCAGATTCAAAATCTTTGCCTGCTTGAGAGCTTCATCTTTCAAAAGTTCTCTCTCCATATTGTGTCGTGCCTCAAGATCCTGAGTGGCCATCCTTTCGTATGACGTGTATATTGTCGTCGTTATCGGTACGCTTTGCTTAGGTGAAGGAAATATACATCGAGAATAATTGATAGCTTATAACTGTAGTTGCAATCACGGCTGCAAAGAAGTGAGGAGAAGAAAGTGCTTCTACAAAAGACATTTGAGACAAGAGCTATGTCACAGCCAACGCACTTCATCTTACAGGAAGTTAGCATTGCTGGATCATAGATCATATCCCAAAGGGATGGCATTCTCCTCCTAAATGGGATAAGCCACATAAATGGGAGCAATCAACGTCTTCCAAAGGAGACATGATGGTGGATATTTTGATCGCCTGCCCGCGGTCAAGGCTACTAGATGAAATGTCTCACGTTGTGATGACCCTATGTGTAGAGGCATAATTCGACGTATCCTATCCAACGCGGTATAATAACCTTTAGCGCGACTTTGTAGAGCATATCGAGATACAATAGCCGAAAGGTTTCCAAATGACCGGAATATGTCCAAATTACACGCAGTATCATATCAATAAGTGTATCGAAGCCGCTGCAATATCATGGTCGTTTCGAGACTCGAGCCCAATATGACGAGTCTGCAGGTGTGGAATGCATGGTGGTCATCGGATGCATCCCTTTTTCGCTTCACTGGATTCGCATTAGGCGAATCAGGGCGTTGATGGCCGCCACATCGAAAGAGCGTGGCTTAGACCGCTGTCTAAATTGGATATGCAAGGGAGAGCTCTGAGTGAGAAAACAGAGCATCTCCGGCTGGCGACATGCATCGTCGAAATTAGGTTTCTCGAGAAATCTGGAAAGCGTGTATAGATTGATGAGATGGACCAAAGCAGATGGAGCAATATTAGTGTTAGTTGAAATTCTGTAAGCAGTAGCAGCAGTCCGTTCGATTGTATGCCGCTGCCAGTAGAGTACTCTCCGCATCAAGTTTGTGCACTCTCTCGCTCATAGACCAGGCAACTCGGAAAAGACATTTTCACATAATTGGGAATATCGTATTGAAGTCGTCTCAGAAGACATGCACCACGAGCATGACACGTTCCTAGACATCTGTCTCGACATTTACGGCGGTATAGCTGCAGAAGGCTCATGTGACCCTTACGTCAGTCAGCCACTCTGGTATGCTGAAAGTTGGTGCTCTGCACACAATAAGCCATACGTAAGAGACCATAGATCCGGGAGCATTCAATGGGCGGCATGCTGTACTTGGTAGCAACTGTGTTGACATTTTTACAGGTGTCTGGACGGGAGTCGACGGCAGCGAATATTGAAGAAGCTGCGTGCGAGGCATAGCCGAAATACTAGCTTAGTAAGACGATCTGCATGGGGTCTACATGTACCTGACAATGAGTGTTTTACCCTAGAAAGAAAGAAATTTTGGGCATAAAAGACAAATCTACGCCGCTGAGAGGAGAAATCGGTTGCATTAGATTGCACTATTGTTATTCCAATGAGAATTCTATGTTAATAACAATTACGCGAGTAGTTGCTGGCGCGGCTTGCTGGGTGAAGTACCTATAGCAACGATACTCAATACCCGTCACTTGTAGTCTCGATTCTCAATCCTTGCTACGATAGGAGCCTAAACACAGCTTTAACGCTCAGCATGATCCGATGTGCTTATTGAAACCAGTTCGTCTTTATGTCTATATTTTCTTATCAAGTAATCATGCAATCTGTCTGGGCCCTTTAAATCTCCCCTCCACTTAGAATTTACAGTATCTCGAGCTCACTGGAGGCCTTCCATCTCTATAACTTACAGCTTAGCACTATCAATCGCATCATCTCCCACTCAAACGCGACCTCTCCGCAAAGCCACACACCATAGCGCCTCTGAGCGTGGCACACTAACAGCATTAGCCTGCGGGAGACTTGCAAGCAATTTGGAGCTCGTGCAGCTAGACTGTGGCGGCGTCCATCTTTCGTCATCACTCATCATAGTCGGCAGATCGTTATCGATCGGATACGTATGGCCAGCGCATCCTGGAATGCTGGGCGACTAGTGGCAGCTTTATCTCAATGCATCGTGGCATCAAGATAGCACGTCAACGGAGGGGCAAAGACGAGAGGGAAAGCAGAAAAGAAGACAGATTTTAACCATGTCCTATGCCATATAGTAGACGTGAAAGTGCCGGATAACAAGACGCGCTATCACGCCGCAAAATGACTAACAAGGCACAATCACAAGACAGTGCAGTAGCCTAGAGGCTTCGAGCACATGGCCACGCATTGTACTCGTGGCCTCTGAAAGACGAGGCAGAAAAAGGAAAAGACGCAGCAAAAAGTAGATAGACAGAGCGTCGCTTGAAAGCTGGCCTCATCATGCCCTGAATCTCAAACAAACAAGTGACGGCATCCACTTATTTTTTTCTCTTCTGACCCGGTTTGCAGCCAGCGCCGAAGCCAATAGAAAGCCGATAAAGCAAGGCTCCAGCTCCAGCTCCCCCAAGCCACCAGCTAGCCAGACCACCATTGCTTCTGCTTCTTCCCACCACCGTTTCTTCCCTTCTCCTTGTCATCTTCCATCTCAGCTTGCTTCCTTTGTCTCTATACTATACACCAGCATTCTCGAACTCGCAAACTTCTTTTGTCACACATCGCTACTCAGCTCATTCCAGGATTCGTCTTTTCCGAAGCTACCCCTCATCGCTTCGCCCACCAGCTCTTTTGCCGAGCTCCCGCGCCCTCGAAGCTCTCATCGTCATCTTCGCCTTCTGCCTAACGTCACGACCCCTCAGCCGGCGCGTCTTTGGCTGCTCGACAGCAGTTGATACTACACAATGGCTCCTCCGCCGCCAAGCTCGAACAGCACGCTCCAGGAGCGCTTTCTGGCTCTGGCCCAGACTCTACAATGTGCGTAGCTGCCCAATCCTAATAATTTTTCTCTACACAATTTGCATGTGAACTACTCGCTAACCATGTCTTTGTCGTACAGTTGCCTGGTTTGTTGGGTATGACCTCCAACAATCCTTTGATATACCAATTCTTCAGCTCCATCTTGCTCCGTCCTCCCTCGAGCTCCATTCGTCTCATCTGTAATCTGCCGCCGAAGCAACCCGAGAGACAAAATACCACAGGCGTGGGATAAGGGGCAAGATTCTCGGATGACGGGAGCCAACGGGCAAACGAATTGGACAACAAACATGGAGATACATGGCTGACGCTTTGTCTACTGCAGGCACCTGACTCTTATCCTCACTACCTCCCGCTATGCGCTGTCATGGCTATTCATGAACTACTACAGCGGCATGGCTCAGTTCTCCTACCGAACGTCGTTTGCCGCTGCCGCTCTTACCTACGGAATTGTCGTCTACAAGACTCAGCGAGCCCGCGCAAAGACCGGAACCAAAGCGCCCAACGGTGTTCTTGGGCTGCTTGCCGATGAGAACGTTCAGTACCTAGGTAAGCACGAATACCGATATGGACACGTCGCGTGATGTGCCTCTGCGTGGTGCTCATAATCGCATTTCTGACAATTTTGGATAGCTCTGGCCCTTGTCTGGCTCTTCATGCCCCAGTATCCCCTTGCTTTACTCCCGTACTCGGTCTACTCCATCTTCCACGTTGCCACCTACACGCGCGCCAACCTGATTCCAGTCTTCCAGCCCCCGCCGCCTGCCGCCGAGGGCGCTGCCCGACCCAAGGTTAGCAGCCCTTTGGCCGACAGGATCGGAAACTTTGTCAAGGAATACTACGACTTTTCTATGACCGTGGTCGCCTATCTGGAGATCAGCTTGTGGGTTCGGGTTTTCCTTTCAGCCATCCTTTTCCAGCGTAGGTCGTGGATCTTGCTTGGCCTGTACACCACATTCCTTCGATCTCGCTATGCCCAGAGCAGCCATGTCCAGACTTCCTTTGCTCACGTCGCCGCACGAGCCGACCACTTTGTTGGCGCCCAGGGAACTCCACCTCAGCTCAAGCAAGCCTGGGATATTGTCAGGAAGATCGCGGTCCAGTTCCACGACATGACCGAGCTGAACAAGTACATCGGCGGTGGCCCTGCCAAGAAGACGTCATAATTGCCCGATATCGTCAAACACGTGATCGGGAAAAATAATGGCGACTGAGCGATGCGCTTTATGTGTATTTTACTCGGGAAGCTTCAGTTCGATGGAAAGTCAAGTTTGGCAGCTCGGCCGCTGTGTCCGACGAATAGCGAATCGGCGAAACTGGCAATCTACCCCTGGCAACTGCTTATACTACTACGCCAAAGGCTTGCTAGTGATCTTTAACGGAAAGTTTCGAATTTGGCCTTGATCAACTGGAGTCGAGAATATCGAATCTTTTTCTATGATGGCTAGAATAGGGGCAAGTAAGAGGATGTGAGATTTACCAGCTGAGATCAGCAGTTGAAGAATGGTGCAAGGAAGTGCTTGTCCATGTTATCCCCGCTAAATCAGATCGGTTATATAGTATGGAAGGAGAGCTTGTAGTTTGGCGCGTAATGGGATTATACTGGTGGCTGTTGATAGTGTTGAGCAACTCTCTCGGCAAGATGTCTAAAATATCTTTTATCTATTATAATTACAATTACGTGTTTGGATCGCTCAAAGCTACTAGAAGAAACAAAGGTGTAATAAACCCAATCAGGGGACTTTGCAACTAAACATGTTTATCCGAATGCATCCATCTGTTTTTTTTTCTTTTTCTTTTTTCCCGTTCCCCCTCAAAGGTGAATCGCGTTGTGAATAGCTTCAAAACAAGCTTGATTTGATGTCATGGATCAACTTGATGTCATCCATTTTGGTGACGCCACTAATCTCGCACTAGTCCCCTAAAGCTGGGTGAAGCACGCGGGCGGGCTGAGGGGCAGCGGCTTGCAATAAGTGCTATCGTGGGGCAAGCTGACGATGACGTCGCCTAAGCAGCCCGCTGAAGCTTCTGTAGCGACACTGGAGTCCAGTGAAGCAAGCCCTAGACGCCACCGTTGTACTGAGCGAGCTCCACTAACAAAGCCCGACAATTGAAGACGCCAAGGATTCTGTCCTGATCAGCGGCGAGGTCATCGATTTCGCAGCCCAGATTCTCTCTGGCCTTGCATTAGCATCAGCATCAGCGCAGAGCACTGCTATTTGGAGTAATCAGCTTCTCTTCTCTCTCATACTTGGCGAATCTCTCAGCCCACTCATAGAGGCTGCAGCTTCAGATTTTTTTTTAGAGTCGGCGCCACATTCCTCTCTGTTCTCTGCCAAACGCCTCTATTCGTCCCAATCTTCCCATCTGAAGGGCAATGGCTTCATTTCTGCGACAACTCATTGCGAGCCCGCGGGCGTGGCACCCAGAGGCGGGCTTGGACCTTTGCTACGTGACGGACTTTATCATTGCAACGTGAGTAGAAGCTACCAAGAGTGACGCGATGCATGGTACCAGTGACATTCTGACATTGGCTTTGCACGCATATTCAGATCTGGCCCCTCGCAGACATACCCCCAACTGGCCTACCGAACCCCTCTCGACCAGCTCGTTGCTTTCCTCGACTCAAAACACGGCGATAATTGGGCCATCTGGGAATTCCGTGCTGAAGGCACAGGATACCCGGACGAAGCTGTCTACAATCGGATATGGCATTACCCATGGCCCGACCATCATCCCCCGCCATTCAGATTGGTGCCGATGATAATGGCGAGCATGAGGAATTGGCTGCACGGGGGGGATGCGCCGGGCGGGACGTCTGCGGGGACGGATAAAGGCAAGGCTGCGCAGCCATTATCGTCCAACCCGCCAATGGGGAACGTTGCAAAGGATTCAACCACAGAGCCGATCAAGACCGAGAGAAATAAGAATCGAGTCGTGGTGGTGCACTGCAAAGCGGGCAAAGGGCGCAGCGGCACCGCCAGCTGCAGCTATCTCATTGCAGAGGAGGGTTGGAAGGCTGAAGATGCGCTCACACAGTTCACGCAGCGTCGCATGAGGCCTCAGTTTGGAGCTGGCGTATCGATTCCTTCGCAGCTACGATGGGTCAATTACGTCGACCGCTGGACAAAGGGCGGAAAGAAATACACCGATCGTCCAATTGAGATTGTTGAGATTCACGTGTGGGGGCTTCGAAACGGTGTCAAAATGGAGGTCGAATGTTTCGTTGACGAAGGCAAGAAGATTGAGACTGTGCACACCTTCTCAAAGGAAGAGAGGATGGTGGTTGAAGCAGGTGCGCCTGAAGGCGGCGGCCTGACGGAGATGATGTGGGATTTGGCAGGGTACTCGAGTCCAAAGGACAAGGACAAAGAGTCAGAAAGTTCATCAAATGGCGAACCCAAGAAGAAGGGCTCTCTTGACTCTCCATCCTCGGCGCGATCAAATGACCCGTCGATGGAGCAGCTTCTGCGACGGAAGAGCGCCAAGCTGATCGAAAAAGTATCACCGCCGGGATCCCATTCAAAAATTGACAAATTTCGAGCCAAGATCAATTCTAATGAAAAGGCTCCTTCTCCGACAATATCCTCTCCATCAGAGGTTCGCACAGAGGCTCCAGACGAAACAGAACCTGGTGGCAAAGCCGTCATCATGAAACCCATGACCCCGATCCGCATTGCCCACAGCGACGTCAACATATCCGTTGAGCGGCGAAACAGGACATCCAAATCCATGGGCCTGACAATGGTTACAGCCGTCGCTCATGTGTGGTTCAATGTGTTTTTCGAGGGAAATGGTCCAGAGAAGGAGGGCAAAGCAGACAGAAATGGCGTGTTTGAAATAGAATGGGAGGCCATGGACGGTATTAGAGGATCAAGCAGGAAAGGGACGAGAGCCTTTGATCGCATGTCGGTTGTATGGCGAGTTGCAGACAGCGGTGAGGCTAAGGCAGAAGAAGAGGTCATCGAGCCCAAAGAAGGCGAGCCGGTACCGCAAACCAAAGCTGCGGATTGGAAAGGCGCAGATATCGCAAAGCCTCCAGATGCCGAAAAGGATCTCGGATTGCGGATGCAGAGTCCTCTCAGCGCAAATGTGAGCAGGGCCAGCAGCATCAGGAGTGCAGAGGGAACGGTGGATGAGCAAGACCAAGGCCAAGGGTCCAAACGGGATGAATCGAGGGAAGGTCTAAAACGGAGTGGGCCGTCGGGCGAAGATTTGGATGAAGAAAGCAAAAAGGCTTAGGAAGCATGGGGAGTTTGAAGCAGATGGTATACGATTCGTTAGAGACACATTATTTATTATAGCTATTTTGATACCAGCGCTGAATGGACATGTTTTTTTGAGGTTTCTTGACCTCTAGTATGATCCAAGTCGGGTCAGGTGCATGTTGGAAAGAAATGCTTGGAAGATGCCGATGTATTGAAAGTTTGCTCCCTGCTTACAGATAGGTATCTACCTCAACGCCAACATACGAGCCAACGCTGGAAACTCCCCGCTCAGAATCGAGCTCACCGATATCGACATTGACGGTACCGACCCAGACTACGCAAACGCAGTAGACAAGCCGTTAACATGGCCACCGCCGAGCAAGAGGATTACATGTCGATGATCATGGACAAGTCCTATCGAATCCTCCTGTTAATGGAACTCCTAGCATGCACAAGGCAGTACAAGAAACCGCCTACTTGGGCGAAGTTCGTTTTCTTTCACTTCGTCTACAACGGTACCTCCGGCCTAAACAAACATGTCAACTGCCTCGGCTGCAATCTTGACATTCAGGATCTAATTAAGGGAAAAGTTACCTATCTTATCTAGCATCCCACCTTTCAGCGACAGCATTAATGGGCTACTACTAAGTGTTTGGTATAAAATGAAAGATCAATGGATCTATAGATTTTCATTATCGACTAACCGCTACATTAGGCCATATCTGGAATGCAGCTGAACATGTCGACTGGATTAATCTACTATTGGAACCCTCTACCGCCTCAGCACAAATAAAGGAAGACATCCTGCAGTTTATCGTTCGAATAAGCGAAGCAACCTATCCAAAAGCATTAAGAGACCTTGTTGAGTTTATCATAGATGTAGAGCGGAAGAGCTGGCACTCACTCTGCCTGAAATTGATGCGCTATGGGAAGCATTTCTCGATGCAATCAAGAAGATCATCTCCGTACATCTTGGAATCAATGGCCAAACCATCTGGCCCACCAGGGGCAATCTTCTTCGGCCTATGGTTTGTTTTTTTAGTGTCTTATAGGTGTACTTTAAAGGAAAACTAACTGGATAGATAGGCATTACCCAACCAGCAAAAAAGAAGTAGGCTCTTTCGACATGTCCTGGACCCTCAGAACTTAAGTTTACGGTAGTAAAAAAGAAAGATCGGCTGTACCACGATGGTAGTAACAACAGACAGGATTTCGTTCAGAACAACGGCAAAGAATCCTGGATGGGGAAAGGAGCTCAGAGCTGAAACCTAAATAATTAACTATGAGTCGAGTTCAAACTCTTGTATCCACCACACATGTGTTAATATACACGGAGAGAAGTTATCCAGCACCCAAATATATCCCGGGCCATTATTACAATTGCTACTATTGCTACAATTGCTACAATTGCTACAATTGCTACAATTGCTACAATTGCTACAATTGCTACAATTGCTACAATTGCTACAATTGCTACAATTGCTACAATTGCTACAATTGCTACAATTGCTACAATTGCTACAATTGCTACAATTGCTACAATTGCTACAATTGCTACTATTGCTACTATTGCTACTATTGCTACTATTGCTACTATTGCTACTATTGCTACTAATGCTACTATTGCTAGAATAGTATTTCTAACGAATTAACTACATGTATTTTATTAAGCTATACTAACCGAGATATTAGATCATGGAACTAAGTGCTGGATAATTTTTCCCTATCTATATAACGAATTGCTTTTGCTTTTTCCCTTTCACGGGATATTAGATGTAGCAGAGAGCGAGTTGCTCTTTCTAAGAAATGACTGTTGTAACCGCGCCCTTTCCTCTTTATTTCAAGCTGAGTGGTATAACGGATATTATCGCATGAAAGCAAACATTAAAATTCGAACCCTGACCTTGCTGTAGCCAAAAGTTCAGCAGGCATCGTGCGTAAACCCAGCATGGGAAAAGTATACTTTGAGGCTAAGAAGTTTATCGACAGTATATTTGTCGTGTTCTGCTCAGATTTTTTGCAAACAGACTGAGTTGCCTGCATCTCTTAGACGTGCCAAAGTAAAAAACGTATTCGCGAGCAACAAGCGTCTATATCATCCACGCATGAGGCTTGTCAAAGCACTCATCCCACTTTGTCTTTCCCGAATCCCAGAAATTCCTCATCGTCGCCAACGCGACTCTGGTGCATCCTCCCGTATAGGGATCTCGCACGCTGTTCAGCAAGTACATCTCCACCAGCATTCGGTTCTCTACAGACTCTGTGGGTACAGCAGCACCGGCAACAATCACCGGCCAGAGTATATGGTCGAGGAGCGGCATGAAATCGGATGAGGTGTCGAGAAGATGAAAGAGCTGCTTGCGGTGGGTTTTCTGGAGTTCTGCGCATGTCGTGCGAGAGGAGCATTCGGAAGTACAAGGCAGCGTCATGGAGCCAAAGACGGCCACTGCGGATTTGAAAAGCAGCGAGACGAGATGGAGATCTTTTGCTTTCTTGGCGTCCATGGAGTCGGTCATGGTTTGGACGGGGTATGCATCGATTCGTTCGAGTATGGCGCAGAGACTGGGTTTAGAGTCGCCTTCGGAGACTGCGGCCTCTCGTCGTAGGCGGTTGATGAGAAACATTTCTTTGAACAAGGGAGCAGGACAGTAAAACAGTGGGCTGCTGCCGAGTTCGTATAGGGTCATGACATCGTCGACGTCAAAGTTGCAGGCGTCGACCATCAGTCCATCACTCGGGCTGGTGGTGTTGAAAACAGTGACGCCGCTGACAATACAGAAGAACAATAATCAGCTTGAAAGTCGAGTCGAGAAGGTCATCAGGACAATGGTCTTACATGACAAAGCTTTGCATCAGCAACGGAGTTGTGGAAGAGTTCATCAGCTTCTTGAGGCCGCCGCAGAGTTTGATTAGCAGGAGATAGGCCTCGGCATGAACGCGCCATGATTTTGAATTAAAGAGCAAGATCTAGTAACCACAAAGTAAGTAGCTGCTTATTGTCTCTCTTACAGAATCCTCATGAGATCGAAAAAGGAAAGAGATGCTTACATCTGCACTCATCAAGTGCGCCATGCTTGAGAATATGCTAAGAATATTTGGGAAGCTCTGCTGGATATCATCGTTGAGGGCGCTTATAGACGTATTAATGTGAAGATAGAATTTCCACCACAAAGGAGCTGCCGGCCCGGTAGTCGCAGGTTCCAGGCTGAGGTTGTTCTTCAGTGTCACATACATGATGTGATAGCCAACCGCAATGGCAAGAAAGCAGTGGCGGTTTGCAACCGAGAGAGACTGGAGAGCATCGCCATTTAGTTCGACGACCCAAGCGGGATTCTGTATGATCTGCCGTGCGCGCAGCCTTGGCAGCAGTTGGTTGTTGTCTGAAGAGCAGATCTCAGTGTTAGATTTGAAGAGCAACTAATTGAAGATGTATGTGCTTGTCTGGTCGGCGCAAGGCTGCGCATATACAAGATATGCGAAAAGTTGTAGCCTAGAAGGCCTGGACAAGGTGGAGATTTGAAGAGTGGAGATTCGTAACATGGGAGAATCAAACTTACACATCTTTATGGCGTCGATATAGTCCCAATCCTGCGGTCTTAGGTCGGGAGGAATAGCCGTTACATGGATCTGCGTAGCGCCATCCGCAGGGTTATTGACAGATCGATTCCTGCAGGCAACAAGCTGGTGTCTCGGATCTCTTGAGCTCTGAGATGAGCCTCCATCGTCGTTTCCGTCGCCGTCTCTGCTCTGGGCTGCCTTGCTAACGACTGTTGTAGTTGTTGTTGTTGAATTTGCGCTCGAATCCGGAGGCGAGTCGCTGCTACTACAGCCAGAGGATGATGCCCCGGACGGAGTGCCAGCATCGCTGCCTCGATCGCTTTTACTTGCCGCCGTCTTCCTTATCCGAGACCGCGGCGGCGTGCTCGCCTTGGGCTTTGGCGATGCCGTTGCCGCGGTCGAGGAGCTCGCGATGCTGCGCCGTCTCGAGTCTCGCGCCGCAGCCGTCGCACTCGGCCGGGCCGCCGGCTTGCCCTTCTTCGGGATCCGCGAGATCATGCCGGTGCGCAGCCACGTCAGCGGCCGGTTGTTGGTGAAGCCGGGGCAGACCATGCCGGCGGAGCTGCAGTTGCCGCATATCGGGGTCTTGCCATCGCATGGCGAGTCGCGGCGCTGACACTCCCAACACTGCGGCCCTTTGGAGGAGATTGTCATCTTGGCCGGCGGCAATTCATGCTGCGGGGGATTAAGCGAGCGAGAAGGTTCCCGGGTTGGCGGGCTCGAGCACGGCCGGCTTCTGTCCCTGGTTTCGGTATCAACCGGCGGCGGGCGCTGGTCCCAGCTCTGTGGTCATGGGGAGGTTTAAGAAGATGGTCGAGGGGCGTGGCGTTTGCTTGACTCGTGGGTGCTAGGTTTGGAGTTTCTGCTGGGGAGCTGCCTCGATCTGGGGGGGTCCTTGTATTGATTATATGTCAAGGTATGTCGTAGTCATCAGCTATTATTATGGAGCATTGGCGGGATAGAGGAGTATTATCCAATACCTTCTACAAGGGGGGCAGAGGCGCTTCTATGGGAGAAAGGTTGAGTGAGTGAAACGAGAGCCGCAAGCGCTGACGCCCTGACGGTAATTCTTGTATACAGCAGCTTTACGGCAAGAAAACTTAATGAAACATTCAGAAGGCTAGATAAATGGAAATAGGACACGGAAATAGGCAGCAGCATGTGAACTCGTCCGATAGGTAGGCAGTGATAGAAGAAGCAGGTTGCCGGAATACATGTAGATAGTATTTGGGCCAAGTGATTGTATGATGAGATCAGTTTGACTAGCCCTGAAATTGAATCCATCAATCAAGTCAGGCAGCACATTTGTGTCCATTCTTTTGTGTGCACTCAGTCGACAAAAGGGCCCCCAGGTAGCACCGAGAATAAAGGCCCGGATACGGGACCGAGCATGGGCTGAGAAGCACGATGAGGTCCCGACGCAATATATCTCAAAGCCTCCATGATCGGCTATATGGCCAATGGCGAGGATGATAGCAGTCGGCTTTCATTCAAGCGCACAGGCTGTGTGCATGGCTAGCAGCTGCACAGCCTACATGTACGCACGATGCAGCTGTATGAGATGCTGAGCCACCATCTGCACTCCAGGCAGCGGTTTCTCGTGCCTGTGGTGCAACTTATATACTTGGCTGAGATGTAGCGAAGCGTGTATATTCATATATGCAGAGTACAAACATGAGCAGTATATATCCTAGCAAAACACCATGAGTCCGGATATTCATGTCAGCGCTCCGACAACCTGCAGCAAGCAGTCAGACCACTCTCCAATCACAGCCCCTCCTTTGGCCGTCGCAATATATGAGAGCCCCTCCTCAGTACCGCTTCCAAGCCGTCTTCAGAGACACCCGCATTGATTTCAGCGCTAATACAACAGCCGGGAGGCCACGGCAGCGCTAAGGCGGATCGACGTCCCGCGAGATGTCGCCTTTAGGGCCTTTGGGGCCTCTTTGGGCCTTCAAGTGGCTTCTAATCGACCCTTGTATCATCGGACGGCTATGCAAGATGGCCAGTGTCCGGGGTGCAATGACGTTGGTGGTGATCTAGATAATGGAATTAGTATTAATGATTGCTCGTTTTAAGAGTACTAGAGTCTTAAGACTTAATCTAGAGATGTTTTCACGAATGTTATCCATCTGCATTTCGTTGCTTTTTTTTCTTTTGCTCTTGCTATCTTCCGAAACCAGTGATGACCTTGCATTATGACATTGCATTTGGGACCAGATCTAACATAATGAATGCAATCTAAATGGCGCAGCTTAGCGTAGAAAATCAAGGCATTCATGAAAACATGAAAGCTGCAGCTATTACAGGTACTCAGTTTCATTGGATGGGACTGCTGAAGATATGGCTAGTCCTGAATCCTTCACAGCTCATGCGATAGCCGTGAGCAGATGTGTTGGCACATAAATAAACCAGATACTATGGCGCTTTTCATATGTAAGTGAAACTACTTGTAATCAAAAGAAATCACCGAAGCCCATATATGCACGTGCTCTAAAGTCATCCCTGGGTAAAATGCTAATTGCCAACAACAACAAGCAACGCCTCATCGTCATATCCAAGGACGCAAACCTCCGTGGACTTAAGATGTGGCGACTGCAACCCATGCGCCACCAGCGCCAAAAGCTGACAAAAACACGGCACGGAATTAAGCCCGTCGTCCGCCTACCGTCGTTGCCTCGATCATCTTGGCAGGTCTCGATGGCTTTGGGCTTTTCTCGGAAATCAAGCCTCAGCTGCTTTCATTACTCGCCTTTACATAATCGCCTTTTCCTATCAAGCTCTGCTGTCAACTCTCTCTCACCTAGGTGAGATATGATAGCCTTGATAGGGTCATTTTACGCTTACTAGCACGGAACATGCCCCCGGCTGACGTGCCTTGAAAGCCCCCGTGGAGTTGAAAGCTGTCATTGGTGAGGCTAACGCCATAATGAGTTAAACCGATCATTTGGGAACCTAGCTCAGGCATTGTCGGGGCGGGTTGGACGAGGTCAGATGGCGTCCATCGAGAGGTTAAATTGCTGGGCTCATGGCCATCTGACGGCGGATTTTAGGCCGACCGAAAAACCTTTCGTTGCTGGAATATCCTGAACAGTATTTTGATTGTCCCTGCAGACCTAAACCAGTTTGCTGGGCTCTGATCGATTCGATGAGGGCAAGGTCGGGCTAGCCGGAAATTGGCCTTGTTCCGAGGCATCCGCCGGCCGGGTTATATATAGCACAGCTTGTCGAGAGAGATCGAGGCCAAGAGTAAGCCCAAGTCATTGTCGTCACAGGTGGCTGTCGCGGATAGGCTGGCGGGAGAAGAGGATAGTGTCTTGGAATATCATGAGTCTTGTGTTGTAATCGGAGATCGGCATCAGGATTAGTGCCACGCTCAGTAATTCCGTAGCCGCGTGATGATATAAGAGACATCAGGCCTCCCCTGGTGTGGTCCGCCGGCGGCTTTGTAGCATGCAAGAAGCGGTTGTAAGCAACAACACATCTTGAGAAATATCATCATCGACCACGACCAGCGTCTGTTCCCAGGCACGGACACGACTATTTCCCTGTTTCTGCTTTCGTCATATCGCACATCGGCTGCCAACCAACCGCCCCCCTTTTTTTGTCCTCATTACATTTTCAAAGGTGCCCAGCTGCTTAGATTCTGCCAGATTCTTTCCAGGGCGGCGGCGTCACATCGGCCTCCGAAGCTGCCGTCACCACCGCCGCTGTTTAGATCTGCCTGTCCTGGCTTTTCCCCACACACACCCATTTATTAATCGCGAACCGACCAGTCAAAGGAACTGCTGAGCTGTTTCTGCTCGCTGCTTGAGCAACTTGGTTAAAAACGCGACTTCAGCTGCTAATAAGCGTGCCTTTTTTTTCTGATTATTTCTTCGGTATACTCCGTCAGCCCCCCTTTTAACCGCCGTTGTTGGGTGCGGGCTTTCATCTTGTTCGCTGAGCCGAAGACCCTCCCTGGATACGCTTATTTCTTTATAATTTTTTTCCCCTTTCGACTGCCGAGCTGAAATCGCCTTCTATTTTCTCTATATACTCGTATATTGCACCTCCAAGTTACACGACATATCGAATCTCTATCTTGTTTTGTACGCATCTAGCTTTTTACGACCGCCAAAGAGCATCATGACGGCCGACTTCGAAGGCTCCGCGCCGGCTGGCCGGGTTATGTCCTCAAACTCAGCCACCAACCCGGGAATCTTCCCCAACGGCCACTTGGGCCACCTGAACGGAACCCAAGAGGAGGCTCTAGAGCGCTTCAAAGTGGTGCTGGCCGAGAAGGGCCTGTGGAAAGCCGGCCCTCCAGCCTCGCACGACGACCAGACGCTGCTCCGGTATCTGCGAGCCAGACGATGGATCGTGGACGATGCGTTGGTTCAGTTTAAGGATACAGAAGAGTGGCGGGCGGCGAACAACATTGATACCCTGTACCAGACCATTGAGCTCGAGGCGTACGAGCAGAGCCGTCGCCTGGTAAGTTTGCTCTATTCTCTGCCGCGCACAGGGTTGGAAACTGACTTATATCTCATAGTATCCGCAATGGACTGGCCGCCGTGACCGTCGCGGCATTCCCCTCTACGTCTTCGAAATCCGCACCCTCGACTCCAAGACAATCGCCAACTACGAGAAGCAGGGCGCAAACAGCACATTTTCACAGGCCAAGACTGATGGCAAGACTCCTCCAGGCCTTCTGCGGCTCTTTGCTCTCTACGAAAACCTCACCCGCTTTAACCAGCCTTTCTGCACGCAGCTGCTGGATCGTGAGCACGCCGATGTGCCCGTCACTATGAGCACCAATATCGTGGACATCTCCGGTGTTGGACTGAAGCAGTTTTGGAACCTCAAGGGCCACATGCAGGCCGCATCACAGCTGGCCACGGCACACTATCCCGAGACGCTGGATAGAATCTTCATTATTGGCGCGCCCATCTTCTTCAGCACAGTCTGGGGCTGGGTCAAGCGCTGGTTCGATCCCATCACCGTGTCCAAGATCTTTGTGCTCGCTCCCCACGAGGTCAAGCCCACGCTGGAAGCCTTCATCGACCCAAAGAACATCCCCAAGAAGTACGGCGGTGAGCTCGACTACACATTTGGCCAGCTGGGCATTCCTGATCCTGCATGGGATGGCGTCGTTCGTTGGGAAAAGGGCTACAACTCGTTCCCCAGCGGACCGCTGCTCTGGGAGGACGTCCCGGGCGAGGACCGACTGGCTTGTGTTCGACTGGGCGCCGAGAAGGGCAAGACGCAGCGAGAAGTCATCTGCACGCTCCCCAAGGCGTTTAAGCTGGCTGAAAAGACGACCGAAGAGGCCACGCAACCAGACAGCGTAGCGAACACGGCGACAGAGACCACTGCTACGACGACCGACGATGTTTCTGAGGGAACTCAGACCACAGAAGCCACTCTTGACGGAACGACCGACGAAACTACTCAGACGGATGGTGCCGCCGACGCGCTGGAGAAGCTGAACATTAACAGCGAAAAGACCAACGGCACGACGACGGCAGAAGTGACCACCATGCCCACTGCTACTGCTACTGCCGCGGCATAAAACACCTCATGATACATACAAAGGGCAAATGCATTGAATATGAG